GTCAATTTGACACTTCTGTCATCATGAATGAATTGATTTGTATATTGTTTAACTGCATTTGGAAGTTTTGATTAGAAGTACATTCAGATTAGGAAGAAGCGTATGTTAGGTGCCCTTGGTGGGCAATGAACTGGAATTCTTCTTGTAATCCTGCGGTGATCAAAATTGTTATTCAATTGTTCATAATTCCTAAACTATCGAGTTTTAGTCAAAAGTGTATGAGGCAATTTCGGCTTAAAATTGTGCAAGGAATATGCCCTTCAGCTATGGGCATTGAGTCATGGGACACCTTGTATATTCCGAATACAGGGAGTACTGAGATATTTTGAAAATTCAATTAGAGAATGGGGACGCTCTTTTTGGTGGAAACATTCAATGTAATAATTGGTGTATTCAATATTTTGGTGAATGAACGCGCTACCGCCATTATTTCAATTCCTTCAACTCGCAGATAGGTATTGAAATATGTACCTCGAATTATTTTAGGGTTAGGTAGATATTACATTTTCACCGAGCTAGTGTACTCCAATAGTATAATGTTTCATGTGAGTAGGTACCATAAATTGAAAAAAATTCAAATGCAGTTTTATCTGATTATTACAATCTATCGAAATCTAACAGAACAGTTTTTCATTACATCTTCCCTCTGATAATATGAGATGGTATACTTATAAAATTTTCATTAGAATCACCGTTTTCGAGGAAACTAAGAACTGAACTGTCTTCTGATTTCGAATCATAAAGTAATCTAATACAGGGTGTGTCACGACGAGCTTACACTATCTCTATATCGAGAATCAGTTAATTGAGAATTTTTTTATAATCGAAGTTCCTGTTCAGAATGTCTTCCCTCTGCTTCACAACACATTCTGGCTCTCTGAAGAATATCTGGATCGTCTTATATGGATGCAGCTGCAGTCATCATATGTTGAATCAGTTCAACTCTGGTTTGAGATTTATTTGAATACACTAGACATTTTATGTGTTCCCAAAGATGATAGTCAAGGGGCGTTAGGTGATCTTAGTGTGCAATGAACTTGACCACGTCTTGTAATCCATCGGTGATCAAAATTGTTATTCAATTGTTCATAACTCCAAAACTATCGAGTTTTAGACAATGGTGTATTTCGACTTGAAATTGTTCAAGGAATATGCCCTTCAGCTATAGGCATCGAGTCACGGGACACCCTGTATATCTCGAATACATATGACTCATGGGATCAGGGAGTACTGAAATATTTTAAAAATTCAATCAAAGAGATTGGGAACGCTCTTTTTGGTGGAAACATTTATTGTAATAAAATTGCTGTATTCAATATTTTGGTGGTTGCGCTACCGCCATTATTTAAACTCTTAACTCGTGATAGATATTGAAATATTATGTACCTCGAATTATTTTAGGGTTGTGCCATTGTAACAGAATACTAGGATATACGGTCTATCAATAAAATAGAGTGACATCCTGTTCAGATTTCTAGATTGTTATTGAGGTAGACGTTATTTACAATTGCATGAAATTGTTTTCAAAAATCATATTCTCTTCTATTAGATTTATTTAGCAGCCTAGGGGTGTGATTGATATACAGATTCATTCGATTCTATCTGCATAACGCAATTGGACCTGGTGTTAGGTAAGTTACTTATTCCATGTTATTGTAGACAGCATCATGTTAAGACTATCTCTATTTTAGATTGTCAAGTTTAAGAAGAATATAGATATACTTATACATTGGTATTGTTCTCTGTACTGAACTTCATTGTGCAAACCCATATTATACGTTACACCATATTTACAGAGCTAGTGTACTTCAATCGTATAATGTTTGATGTAAGTAGGTACCATAAATTGAAAAAAATTCAAATGCAGTTTCATCTGATTATTAAATCTTCCCTTTGAGTATATGAGATGGTATACTTGTGAAATTTTCATTGGACGCACCGTTTTCTAGAAAAATAAAAACTGAACAGTCTGATTATGAATCATAAAGTTATCTAATATATTTGAACCTTTGAACTCTTCTCATAATTCACATTTTTCCCCAAGCCGTTTATTTCGTGGTAGTTACTTGCCACTGATCATATCACCTTGTATATTCTCTGAAAGCTGACATCAATCATCATTATTTTCATAAATGATTTCGTCGTACGTACTTTTTTCGTACGGTATTACTATTGGCTGTTAGACCAGTAAAATGCAATTTTCAGTCCAGGAATTAATTTCAAAACATGTTTACCTAGTAGTCATAAAAGAAGGCGTGTCTTCACTTTCAAGAAATTATATTTCCTAGTGTTTTTAAAAATACCTCTGCCTCGTAGGTACTTGGAATCCTCTGCATGGTTGGAATGGAAACACATGAAACTTATTGAAATGATTTATTTTGTATTTCTTGTATAAACAATATTGTACCATTGTACCTAATAATATCATTATAATACAATAAAAAAGCCTCTTTGGTGATACGATAATTAACAAGGGAAAGCTTTTTATGAAGGCGAGCTATGAGATATTCTGAAGATATGTAAAGCTAGCAAAAATAACCTTAAATAACACATTAGATAGGTATTTTACAAGAGTATCGAAATTAAAATATTAAGAAAAATTTGAAACATTAACACATGACGAAAAAAGTATGAATACGTAATAATTTTTTGCCAGTCTTATAGCAAATTGGGTTTTTCTGAAGACATAACATCGCCCAATATGTAGTGGAACTTAGACGAGCAAAGAAAACATGTTTTCTTCGAATAATAATTATATATTTTTCAACGTTGCTGTTGTTGTCTTTCACGATTGGATCTCAGGTGTTTAACATCAAACACTAAACATCAATAATAAAAAAAGTGAGTAATGAATGACGTCTGAACTATCGAAAAACTCTGAACTGCATAAATAGCCTTTACATACGATTTCGATATACCTGGGAATAAAATACCATTCGATTTAATACAATGCACAACAATCAAAACTATTCCATGAACCTATTTCAAAGATGAACAATTTTAGTAGAGAAATAAATTGAGTATTTCTTTGTATAAAACATAGTTTCATTAAAAAACTACACTACCTAATTCATCACAAAACCAATGTCATTAAACATACTCCAAAACATAAAATTCAATTGGATAATATACAGCGTATTCATTTATAACTATTTATTGGTATTGTTATTTGTCTACAATATTCCAAAATATCCATTATCAGGAAAGAGTTATCTTCCTGGGCATATATTTGTGTGTGAATCAATTCAAATTATTTGGAATGCTACTAATATTTACTTTTTATAAAATATATTCTCATCAACCTATGACATCTTTGGACAGTGATTTCTTATCTTATTGTGATATACGTGTACAGGGTGGTCTAAATTGGACACTGAAGGGGAAAGTCCTAATTTTGAACCAGACATTGATGAAATCTGTCTAAGGGTCTTTCATGACCTAATCAATAATAGAAACCGTATATATTGATATTCATTATCGCAGTTTTTGGAAGGTGACCAACACAATTTTTTTGCAAGAAAAAGAATTTATTTTCATGAATACTATTTCAAGACAATGTCTACGTCATGGAAACTGATCCTCAGGCACTAAAATCAGTCTACGAATATCTAGTTTGAAAATATAGTTTTTTTGAAGAAAGTCAGTTCTAATTCTGGACTGGATTTACAGAGTGCTTCTGAAAACGCAGCGAATAATGTGATGGGCAATAGAAAACAAAAAACAAATAGAAATAGATTTTTCTTTCAAACAAGAGGCGTTTGAAGTTTTTGGAAAAATGCACAGCTTTGATTATCATCCTGTAGAATCTGATCCGGAAAAGATGAAATTGTCATATCCATATTTTCGATAGTCAATGGAACGAGCTTTCAGAAACTGGGAAATAATTGAAAATCGGTTGAGGAAATCGAAATTTATGATAATTCAAATTTGATCGAAAAAATGCGATTTTACGTTCCATGTGTTGAGCAGTTTATATGATTGTTTGCTGGGAATGCCTGATAAGGATCAATCTTCACGAAAGCTCGATGCTCCGAAGATGTTTCCATGATAAAAAAGCGTAGAAAAAATGTTTCAGTCACTTTTGATAAATGAAGATTTTCGGAAACTTGTAATTCTGAAACGATGAAAGAAATCGATATGCGGTTTTCATCATTGAATTTGCCATACAAGTTTATCTTATGCACAGACAACAGTTTTTAGCTATCTAATCAGTTTGAAAATAGTTTTTTTTCTTCAGAAGGGTCCAATTTGTACTACCTAGTACAGTCTTTTCTTAAAATATTCTTCTGATGGTATTTTCCTATAAGAATCATGAAATCATTTTTGTTCTTACCATCAGTTTCTTGAATCAATGGATTCATCCATATACATATTTTATTTCAACAACGAATCTGAATTATTCTGTTTTCAATGAATCTATAAACTCAACCTGTATCGAATGAAATTGCAGAAGGGTTTCTCGATGAACATCCGATTTAACTGTCTCTTCACATCTATAAAATGGATCTCATACTTGTACCTACCTGCGAAGAGAACTGAAAATATTTTCTATAACCCAGTGTCCTAGATCTTTTTATACAGCCAATACAAAAGATCGAATTGATTGAATTCGAATTTCGTCCAACTATTCCTGAAAAACACTCTCGAGAGATTGAAACTGCATAAAAATATCTGAGATATTCGTTGTAGCAACTGACTTTTTACTGCAAATTTTTTCGTTAGATTTTTTCTGAATATGATGAAAAAATCAAATCGCAGTGAATAAACGATGTTCGGGAAGATTCTAATTATTTGATATGAAGTTCCGGAGAGTAGAATATCATTTGAAATCTTTTTTCATAACTATAGAATGTCAGAATATCAGTGACAAGTTCTCTTAATGTTACGAGTATGTTATTTTTGAAAATGATATGAATGAATCACTTGAATAATGTATATGGACTGATGCCAGTGCATGGTTGACAGATTCTTTATAAAAACGCTAATACTCATACAATGAGCTAATGGAATTTCAAAATAGTCCAGACAATTTGGTTTGGATGTGAAACAGCTCCTATTTCACAATTCACTGTACGCGAACGACCATTTATGACGAATAGAGCTTCATTTGCTGGAGTCACCATGTATTGTCCAAAAAGACCTGGAAAATATTTCAATTCAAAATTCCAAGATAGGAGTAGGTATACGGAAACGTAGAAGTACCAGGGTTTTTCGTTTATTTCAATCGATTAACTCACGCCTATTCTGAGACCAATGAAATTTCTTCAATTCCCTAAAACCGACCAATCACCAGGTATTCGAAGTGATAAATAGCTACTTTGCTTCCCAATAACTGATAAATATGCTTTCAATCAACATACGTCTATACAAGGTGATTCATTAAGAATGGGAAATCTCTGAAGTACAGATAGTAAACACAAAAATGATGATATTAAGCCCAATATGCGTGATGAGAATGTTGCTGGTTTAGGAGATACAGGGTGTTCTAGGGGGAAATTTTATTTCAAAATTTCACAATAACTTTGTTAGTTTCAACAGAATGGACATGGAATCTTACATTTCTAGGTTTTCTGATATGAGGAATATGAATATGCAACTTATTTTGTGATTGCTCATAGATGGCGCTAGTGGCACTCTGTTACTTCAATAATTTACATCAGATATTCTATGTCAATTCATTGATGATCAAAATGAGTGGAAAATCTGAAAGTTCGTTCAATTTCACATGGAAAATGTACTCTTTATCAAATTGTCTAACTCCAACGATTTTTGTGTTATTCGCTCTTGATGAAATTTATATTCCAATTATAGCATTTTGATAGTTTCATTCATTAAATAAAGATTTGGAAATTCCTGAACTACAGATAGTAAACACCCAAATATGAAGATTCAGCCCAACATACCTCATAAAAATATTGCTGGTTTAAAAGATATAGGGTAGTTAGGGATTTCTAATCTATTTTATTGCTGAAAACATTTTATATAGTATTCAAATTTTATCATTTGTCAAAAAATCTCGAATCAAGGGAAGTAGGAAAAATGTTCATATTTATGTCGAAATTTCGACTACTTTTCTTGAAATTCCAAAAAACTAGCTCAATCTGACACCTTCAAGGTATGTAGTATTTTTTCCACTACTTACTAGAGGTCGACTTTGAGCATCTCTGGGACACCACGTGATTCAACGTATAGTGCCGCCTCAAATGCACACGTGTCACGTGTTCTGATAATAGCATATCAATAACTATCGTGACTATCCATAGCTCTCCATCTCTAGCACAAAGTTAACCTGGTCTGTTTCTACCTAAAGAACACACCATTTATCCTCTCTGGATCTGAATTTGATTCCCATTCGAAATATCACTCATTTGACAGTTCTTAGCGACTTTTCAAAAAAAATTGTGATTCTAGGTGGAATGGAAATATTATAAAGGAACGTAGAGATAGGTTAGGTTATACAGGGTTAATAGCAAAGAACACAGTGTGAATTCACATAAAGGGAGATTTTTGATTACATACCTCAATATTCATTTTCCTCTTTAGGAATATTTTTATGTCTTCATAATCCTATCTGATTGTTAGATCGAATAGCGATTATTGCATTTGGGAAAGTCGTTTAGATTCCATAGTTGTAAGGCACATTACGTCATCTTGTTCAATTATTCAAAAAATAAGCGATACATTTAAACAGATGATGAACAGAAAGTCGAAGAAAAAATGAGGGCGATTGTCATTTTCAACAGTAGCATCCCAATAAAAATTTTAGAGGAATTAGATGGGAGATGTCTGCAAATAACTGATGTATACAGGGTGTTTCAGAGTTATGGTGATATAACTCTGAAACACCCTGTATTTGTTGTGGTGATACAACTCTGAAACACCATGTATTTAGTCGTCGACTGTGTTCAACAGAATAAAAATTGGATAAACTCTCTCTGATGCTAGATTGAAAAACTAAAATCACCATCAATATTTCAATGAAAACAAAGAGAACAAAAGAGAAAGAACTGTCAGAATTAAGAATAGCCTCCTTTTCTTTCTTCTATACAAATCCACCCTGTTCATAATTGAATAATCTTACCTGAACCACTTATTGGTCGATTGGGATTACCCCATTTGGTTAGCTGCATTGGAACTGCTCTACCAACTCCAGTTATCACCTCGACCTTCCCTAAAATAAACAAAATAACAATTTTCAACTTGTTCCTGATGTATCACTCTGAATAAGTCACCTGTGAGCAAATTCAGATATAGAATGCCTTCTTTGTCTTGAGCAGTGGCATATATGTCGTAACTGTGGGTCGACTGGCTTGGGTAAAATGTTACATCTGAGATGTTCAAGCTCGTTTTGACGTCGAAAGTGAAGGTCAAACCATTTGCTGCAAGGACAAATTAGTATCATAAAATAATAGGGTCCATAACATATCGCTGAATGGATCAATAAATGCTGAATTCTTGATCAAAACATTGGAACGATTTTTTGTACATATCATGACATTTTTTTTATGTTCTGGTTCCCACGAAAAGGGATATCCTGTAATGTTCAGAGAACATCGTAAGAACCAAGGGAAATAAGGTAGGAATTGGTGTTCTTCTCAAATTTCTAGAGGTTATATGCCTCTGGGAACACCTCCCTTGGCAATGTCTTCCAGAGCCTCGCTGTTCGTTGGATGAACGAGTCTTTGGAAAGAGATGTTTTGCAGGTATCCAAAGTGACCAGGAAGGGGTGCGAATCCTCAACTCGACGGGTTAATCTCGCGGGGACTGCCAAGGGAGGAACAATTGTTTATATTTCAGAAGAGCATCGTCCATGAAAATATCTATAAAATAGAGCCAGATTGCCAACTTTTCTACGGTGTTCCAGAGAAGTGAGTGAGTTTGTGAGCAAGGCATCACCCATGATATTTATTGCCCTTTTTTGGACAGAATCCAACAGTTTCAGGGTATGTTTGGGTGCTGCATTCCAAATATGGGAACAGTATTCCAGGACAGGTCGGATCTGTGTCACAAAGATCATAAGCAGCTCACTGGAAGTGAAATAGCTCCTGGCCCGAAACAGAAAACCAAGTTTTTGGGATGCACTTTCAGCAATTGATCTCACGTGATTTTCCCAAGAAAGGTTATTGCTGATAGTATTGCCTCAAAGGTATGGTTACTCCTGACAAGCTCATGTTGTGAAATCGGCTTCTCTAGAGAAAAGGCATGCTTGTGTTTTGTTTGCAAAAATGAATCATGAAATCGAGACAGTTCGATATGGGTCAGATTTATTTTTGTCGATGCTTCTATTGGCTCTGTGTGGTGGATTGCTACTGAAAATGAGGGGTAATTTAATTTTGAATGTTTCCGCTTTCGTCTTCAATTTGAAAATATTCGAACTTCATCCCAATCTTGACATTGGGAAAACCCTAGCAGGAGAGTCCGAAGTCCGAGAGATAAAAAGCTACTAGCTGTCAGCTGTCAAATCTATCCGACAACTGTCAGTTTTAGTTATCTATTACTATACGAATTATAATTATCAATGTTATTATTATACTCACGTGTTATTTCCTGTACTATCAATGTGGCACCACTGGTCGTCCTATCTAAAGTAACAAGTTTTCTTGAATCCGGAGATATATAGGGCACTCCAGGGAGGTTTGGCTTGGTTGCAATTACACTGTCTGTCAAGTAATCCAAAATTAGCTCTCCGGTGGGCCTACCAGTGACAGGTTCCAGACATTGCATTATCACCATGCCATCTATCAACAGATGAAATTAATTAGTTATCCATATTTTCTCAAGTCTTGGAGCGCACGAAAGGAAATTCCTATAACTCTCCTTAACTCTTCGTTTTCAGAGATGTGAACGCACGTTAATGTTCGAGATCATTGATCGCCTTTTAATATACAAGTTGGTTACAAAATTTTTCTATATTTCTCATTTCTCCTGCAATGAAGAAAACTTGGTTCGCGAATTCATCATCCATCCGGAAACTGCTAAGAATCACCCAGTATAGCCTTGTTACTGACATTAGTGTCATTTGACATCTGTCGGAATGATCAACATAGGAAATAAATTCCTTCTGTTAGAAAACAAGGATTAAAATCGTGTCAGAAACTTGGGAAGGCGAACCCGTTAACGGAAAATCTTCGATGAAATCCATATTTTCGATTTAAATGCAGATTCCGCTAGTTATAGCATAAACAATGAATGCCCGCGGTGTATGTTTGGTTGCCTATAAAACAATCGTGCATTAATAGACAAATCGTCCATTAATAGGGGTCATTAATGAACGATTTCATATACATTAAACATAGTCGTTAATACGAGGTCGACGGAAAAGATCATTAAACATCTATAGTTCTCTGGGATCTGTATTTTTGAAGGAGATAAAGCATGTTACTGAACTACCAGATCTTGTGGGTTGACTTACATAAAGCAGAAAATCTTATTTGAGCTGGTACACAGTTGTAGGGAGTGAGATCCACCGATCTGGTGTACCTAAGATTCACCAAGTCCAATTTGTACAATCCTCGCTGATTAGTGTGAGTCACGTAGCCATATTTGAAGCTATAGTGCGATAGTTCCTGCAAAAAACCCGAGGATTAGCAATCGAGACCTGACTTCAAATTCGTTGGGAGACTCAAGAATTCCGGTATTAGGGCTCTCGGCATGCTTTTCGTATCCCGCAAAGTTTGTGTAAGCGGTGCAGGAAGTTTGGAAACTTTAATTTCCGCATTAGATGCGTCATATCGCAGGAGTTGTTTCGCGGAAGTTTCGGTGACAGTAGATAAGATTAATCTGGAGGTAATTAGGAAGAGAATGATGTGTGTGTGTGCTGAAAAGTTCATTGTTAATCTCGATGGATTATTTTGAAGCCAGCATGTATATGGGGTAATTCCACGAAACTGCTCCAGGCATTGAAGGAAACATTTCATGATCTTCCATATTCCATTGGTGATAGAATTCATACAGAAATAGATGATGAAAGACAAGGAAACGAAAGAAAATTGATGAATACATTTTTGTTGAAAAAAATGTTTGGGAGAAATGGAACCTCAGAACCTGAAACTTTCGAAAATCATAGAACATAGGTCTACAGGGTATATCACGAAGAGCTCACACTATTTCTATATCGAGAAACAGTCGGGAGAAATCCATGAAAATATGCAATTATGCATGCTTATATTTCAGAATATGCTCTCTTCATAATTTCAGCAATGCAGTATTGCCGCTTCTATCAAAAAGTAGCAACAACATTGTTATCTCAAATAGCCTGTATTTCATTGCATTTTTAGATTCTTCCTGAAGAGCTGATTTCATCGATACATCAAACTTGGGATTTATCGGCAATGGTTACAGATTTATGGGGTGTTCAAAATCGAGATTTTTCAACTTTAGGATTTGTTCATTTCGAAACTATTCATTATCGGCCGAAACGGCTCACATGTCCCAATCTGAACTTTTGATTTACTATTTACTGATATTTAATCGGAACAGATACAGTGTGATCTGAATTCTGAATCATGAACCACCCGATTGGAAGTTGGGATAGGGACATGTGAGCTGATTTGACCGATAATGAATGAAAAAATCCTAAAGTTGAAAAATCTCAATTTTGAACACCCTATATCTCTGTAATCATTTTCGATAGACCCCAAGTGTGATACATTGATGAAATCAGCTCTTCAGGAAGAATCTGAAAATGTGATGACATACAGGGTGTCCCATTTGGAATATCAATGATGCTACTACCTTCTAGTAGAAGCGGCAACACTGCATTGTCAAAAATATTTGTAATGATGAGAGCGTATGAGCATGCACATTTTCATGGATTTCTTCCGACTGATTCTCTATATAAAGATAGTGTAGGCTCGCCATAACATACCTTGTATAGCAGAAACCAAACTTTTGCTTTCGACGGAGTCAGAAGCATAAAAAATATAATTAACTCTTCCCTGGCGTTCAAAGTTAGTTGAAAGATGTAATATGGTGGGAAAGCACATTTGAAAACAATTTTTTTCAGTGAATCGTGTCATATTTGTCTAAAAAACTTTCCATTGTTCATCATCCAAATTTCAGAAATACTCTATTTACTTATTAAGATTTGAAATCATCAGGAGTTCATCAATTTAGTTACGTTCGAAATCCCAGGCTTATCGAAACCAAATGATAAAGTGTACGATTCAATATTTCAGAACTCTGCGAAGTACCTATATCTATTTTGATAATCATTATCTAGATTTTACTGAAATGTATTTTGACTCGTAGGAATTTACGAAGATTCCGTTGTAGGTTTCTCCTTGGTTTGATTATAGAGGAATGATCGATATAAGCTGATATAAAACCTGGATTTGGATAATGTGGAGATACATAATTATTTTCTGCAAATTGTGAATACCTGTGATGGTGATGGAATGAACAAACCAGTAACTAGATCAAATTGTCCATCTATGGGCTCGGGATGCACTGTATGATGTTTCCTCTTCTGGCCAGCATCTCTTATAACCTTGAACAAAAATCATATTTGCAGTGCTTTTTCCACAAAGATCAATGCGATATCAATAAGTAGGTACCATGGAGGTATAACAAAGACAGACAGGGTATCCTCTATTCTTTATTCCCATCAATGACAACTAAATATCAAGTGAGCTGCCGACCTGATCATGACTGTCCATTTAGCGGAGTTCGTGTTTATAGGGATCTGTTCTTTTTTTACCATGCCACGCCCATTCCCCGTATACTGCGACATCTATTGAACAAATTTGAAGTGTTTTAATGCTAACCTAGATATTGAGAGATGTCACTGGTGACATTCCAATGGAAAGCATACAATATATAGAATATGGAACAGCTAAGTTCCCTATATTTTTCTAGTCCCTATTACATGGTTGCCGTGTACAAACAGGCAAGTTGATAATAATAATTGCACCGATATGCTCACCACTCGTGAAATATATCAAAATGAAGGCAATTTTATAACGAATACAGTAGTAGTTGCCTTGCAAAATCCGTTCATGAATTGCCAAGGAGCATTGCGGGTACTATTTCATGCGATAGAGGGGGACGCAGTACACTAGCTGTGCACGATGAAGTCAGAGAATGTAAGATTGGGCGAATGCTTTCTACTTATAGTCAGGGGCGTCCGCAGAAATAATCTCGAGGGTGGGGAAGCAAAAGTCACAATAATAATGTGAAATATTCAGTACATATCGAAAAAAAAGTTTTTGCACGACCTATACGCGATTTTACACAGACAAGAGCGGAAATACAGGGTATACAGAGGTACTCTCTAGGCTAAGAAATTTTCCGGGATTTTTCTGGCAATATATATACCACTATGTTTGCAGCAGCTACTTCTATATTTTTTTCACACAATTCTGCAATATTTATTGAAAAAACTTAAGAAAAGCAATTTTGAAAATATGCTAGCACACTTTGTCGATGTTCACAAAAAGCAATATTGTTACTTTTCTTCATCGGTAGTCATGATAATCAAACTTGATTTTGCGATTTTCGTGTCCAGATTTTTATTTTCATATTGACAATAATTGAATTTGAAAAAAATATATCTCTTCGAATTTTTATTCATCATAGTAAAGAACATATTTTTAATGGCAACACTATAGGTACATATTCAAAAACAAAGCAGATGAGTGATGGTCGACCTTACTTTGGGTCTTAGACTATTAGGATCTCGGAAACTATGGGAGATACGAAGATGGTTGAACTCGGGCGGAGCTGCGCATTTATGTGACTAAAAATATTCCGTTGAGAAAATAATTTTCAAATTAATAGTATTTCCGGAGGTATACGAAAAAGCAGAGATTTTGGTAATTCCATTTTATTTTTTCTGGCGATATTTGATGAAGAATATCAGAACTGAAAGAAGATACACATTGCCAGCCTTTCTCTGCTATACGATGACATTTTTGAATTCACTAGCATGGTGAATCTGGAAATGCAATTGTATAGTATAGTAGTACAGTTTCACTCAGCAAGAATAACTGGCAACATCAAGTTAGCGATTTGGGGGATTGTATGACTTCACATGAAAATGTAAATAGCCCTGTCCATCTTTGTTTATACGTCCATGGTAGAGACTGTTCATATACCTGTATGGTTTTGATTCCAGTGGTATTTGTCGATCGCCAATTGAGCACCCAAACTTGGTCCAGATGCGGCACATGGTGGAGCTCCACAGGGTACTTATCGGTACTGACCACGTCTACCACTACCATTTGTATTTTGGAGATGATCAGGATTCTATCTCTGTTGGGTTGACTGGCGTAAACGTATCGGTTAGCGATGTTGATGGCTCTTCCCCATTCGCATTTCACACCTTTGTCTCCACAAACATATTCCTGAGAAGAAAAATGCATCGTATAATGACAGTATTTTTCATTGATTACAATATTACTATAATTTACTACTCGAGTCAGTTAACATAAATGCATTGACCATCACTTTGTAAGCAATGCCACCTAGTGAATTATTATTGGCACATCACTGCCATTTTTCAACAGTAAATCACAGTAGTGAGGCAAGGCGAAGGACTGTGTCAACCCTCAGTACTTCTACAAAAGCTTGAATGGTATCAGGGGCCCCACCTACAATTTTTTTTAGTCTTATATAAGGGACAGACGACAATATGTGTTTTTCAATGGAACAGTTTCCGAAATAGAACTAGCAACGATAGGAGTGCCTCAAGGCTCCGTTCTTGGACCCCTCCTATTCATAATATATGTCAATGACATATTCTATCACCTTCAGCCATCCGATTGCATTCTTTCTGCGGACGAATTTCTTTCTTCCACTCAAGCAACAGTACTGCCACATTACAACAAAATTATGTCACCACACAAAACAAAGTAGACTAGTGGCTTACATCGAATGGACTGGTCAACAATCCAGGGAAAACTGTCTTTTCTATGAATGGAGATGTGCTCCACGACAATGTTAAACTCCTTGGGATCACCCTCGACAGTTAACTAAAATGGCACAACCATATTGATTATCTAAGTGAAAAACTATCCACTAAAATTTTTTTATTGAGAATTATACAGGGTGTCCCTAGACCAGTGGGACAGTTAAATATCTTCTGAACCAATAGGAATTTTCAAAATATTATAATTCCACATCATATCGCATTATGAGTGCTAATTTCAGGAATGACTATATTTTATACGAGGGGCGCAAGAAAGGCTCACAAAATCGAACATCAATTTTTTCAAATGGAACACCCTGTATTTCATTGCATTTTCATATTCTCCTTGAAGAGCTGAATTCAACGACCTAGCACACTTGGGGTCTAGCGGGAATGATTTCCGAGATATAGGGTGTGGAAAATCATGATTTTTCATTTTTGGGAATTTTTTGTGTCAAACTCGTATTTGATTGAAACAAATACAGGGTGGTGTAGAATTCTCAGTTTCAGTCAGAATTCTACACCACCCTGTTACTCATAATATTATAATGAATACAATTAAGTTCATTCCTGTACCTCTTAGATCACCGAAATACCTATAATTATTGTTACTATTAGTGGATGCTTGTATGGGTTTCACCTGTTTGTATCCCAAACTGGAAATAAATAAATAAACAATAGATTAACAATACTGCAATTGAGAGGTTGATACATGCTTCTTTCTTCGTAAACTTCGGAGTCCTAGACTATCGATGACCATTTGGATGGTCAAAACATGTCTCAACCTCAATGAAGAAGGTTCATAGCTGAGTTTCATGATTAAATTTGTGAATACGACTTCAAGAGTCTTTTTATTTCCTGTTGATTCTTGGTCCGCATATGGAGAAGCGACTAGGCTATGTTATTGGATTTCCGCAAATCCGCAGGGGTCCTCCAATTTCCCTCCCGAAAAACATCCCCCTTCCTCATTTGCCTACCTGCGTGCCAGGAATGATGTCGGTGGACTGGATGCGGTGGTAGAGGCGGCACGTGGATGGCTCGTAAATGGACACTCCCCAATCGTGGAAAGCGAAGAAGCGCCTCTCCTCGTTAGGGGAGCCTGCAATTAAAACAATGTTTACTCGGCGAGGTGATTTGCATAGCTGGTCGTTGTTGATGAGGTCGATCAATGATCAGTGTGACTTGATTTGGCCCGTTTCTGGATGAAAACTATGTTTAGATATAAGTGAAGTCTCATTTTTTTTACGCTTTCTAATCTTTTCGCAGGTACGGTTTTCTGTAATCAAAGACAGGTATTCACCGAGTGCATTTGCTCCTCGATGGACAGAGTTCGAAGAACCCTGAAGGTCAGATCGATCGAACTGAAATCAGAGAATATTCAGCACGATGACTTCAAAATATCTCAACTCTTCATTTAGTGACCAATCACAGAAGAAATTTTGCTTTTTTTTTTCGAAATTTCGAATGCCCAGTTCAATTTTGTTGGAAAACCCAAGACCTTCTACTGAGCTCAAATGGTCAGTATTCGAGATATTCGACCCAGAATAGAAGTTTCCATATTGATGAACATATCGAAAATATTTATTTCAGTTCATAGTTCGTAGATGATGCACTTTCTCAATGAAATTGAACAATTTAATTCGAGAAACTGGAAAGAATCGGAACTATGTCCAACTGTGGATCATCGTATAAGAGGAACAATTTTAGTTTTATCATTCCAAATGGAGAGATCATGTGATAGGTACATGGCGAAAATAAAAGACAGATAGTAACTGATTTCGAAGAAATATGTTCCTATCTTAGATTCCTCAATATCATGAGTTATTTTCGGAGGTTTTCATCTTGACTCAAACAAGCTATTGACAACCTGCAGACATTGATCAGAATATCAAAACATTTTGAATAATATCGGTCTACTAATGATCTTTAAATTTCAAAGACTACCAAGTGTCGATATATCATCGAATTCATGTCACAGCCAACTATTTTTGAATAAAAAGCAATTCAACTGCGAATTAAGAAATAAATGCTACTTTGTGATATATGGTTCGGAAAGAGAATTTCAAGCCGAAAAAGATAGACTGAAGGAATGTACAGGGTGACATTTAAAAAAAAAATTGGGGTCACTTCCGATCAAACAGGTGGTTGAAAAAAATTGTCGTTAAGTTCGTAAAGTGCGCTACCATTTATTACATACCCCCTGTGAATTCAAAATTTTATCTCTTAAAATAAAAAAACTACAGGCTGCTACATGTACTCCTGTGTCACCCGGTATAAGTAGATGTCGACACCAGATCGAAAACCCTCAAAGTTCCATATTCACTGTTCTACTTACTTGGCGTTGGTTGTTCCTGCACTACGAGAGAGCTGATATCCCTCGTAAGGCCACCTGAAATGCAAAGCATACTGGGATTAGATGGTGAAATAATTCACTATCTTAATTAAATTGCCGCCTCTTCGACTCCTTGCATGGCCTGGAAAATTAAGTTTTGTATTTTATTCCAGATGCGTGCGTACTTAAGTACGCAGCACATGAAAAGTAGCATGTAAGTTGGTCCTATTAATATAAATACTATCGCAGTTACACTGCGTCAAATTACTCATATTTTTTCATTTTCTGGATCACACGAAACTGAATTCCTACTATGGAGTATCCTAAAAAGCAAGGCTGGTTTGGCAGTGTAGTTTCAATATAAACTTGTTCATTGAATCGAATTGATTTCTTCGAAGATTCATATAAAAGATCAGAAAATGAATACACATTATATTGAACTGAAGCATTTTAAATTGAATTACGGAGCAAAAAAGCAAAAACCACAAACCACCACTGATATTTTCTTTTCATTTACGGTTCACGAACTAAAATGGATTTTCATCAGCTTATCGCTGGTAATCAAGAATGAGTTCGCTTTTAGTGAGTGCTTATTAATTTCTAGAGCAGATAAATAATGAAAAATTAATGTGCCTAGTTCTTCGCTTTTCCAAGTTCATTAAATATTGGGGGAAAATGAAACAAATTTGGCGGAAAACGTAATGAATAAAATAAATTGGTAATGCTGAAATTGTGACTTCGATAACAATTTATATTTCACGAAATTACTCAATATATTGAGGTTTGTCCCACTTTGAGCAGAATCATATACCACCTGATTGTGAAAAGGCAAAAACATCTGTTGAATATTAAACAATGTATCAATGTAAAAATGAAGTTTTCAATATGGATTCATTGAGGAAGATTGAATTCATATTATGATACTTTTTAAACCCTGATATATCGGTTCATGTTCACATGGTATTTATACTTTCCAAAAAGTTTATGCATAGCAAGTGGTAGGATTGGAAGAATGAATGAAACAGAGGATCCACAATTGAAGATACATGCAAAGTTGAAAGTTTGTCAGTTTCACTGTTTCAATTGTCACAAAACGATTCGGTAGGGGCAAACTATCTAGTCTCGACTCTCAATCAAGAATCCGCAAAATTCGACGAATTTCAAAAATGTAATCCGATGAATATTGCTACGAAATGATCCATGTTTTGTAGGCATCACGCAATACACCAAAATCTTTTGTCATAGCCTAGGAAATTAAAGAACAATTCCGCAGAACGAGGTCGCAACAAATATCTGCTTGAGATATTCATCATTGAATTGATAGCACCTTATTGATACCAGCAGGTCAGTTAGAATATCAAAATGAAAGCTTCTTGAGAAAAAAATATTGCTATATTCCTGCTTGTACTGTATCATCATCATCACCATCTGAAAAGGCCACCTTGTACCTATTTTTACCTATGCTTGTCGCTTGGCACATGTATGCTCCAGTATCTGCAAAGTCGATATTCCTCATTTTCAAAGCAGTCCCATTCCCAATTATCTGATATTTTCTCGGAATGTCCATTTTCAACGGTTCGTCGTTCTTCAACCATTCTACCTAGATACAAAGGAACATTTTGATAGTGTACAAGTTCTATATGAAGGAGAATGAATATTCATCTTACTTTGGGAAATGGTTCCCCAGCAACATGGCATAACATAGATGCGTCTTCCCCTGGCCTCTTCGATTGAATTCTTGGAGTCACGTGAACTTCCGGAACAGCTGCAGAAAATAATTATTTGAGCTGTCACATAATCTCGTTTCAATTACACCTCTTTGAAATCAACTTGTTTTCATCTATATTAGTAATATTGTAAGATAGGCTTTTTCGGGCTATCGCACGGAAAGAGCGCACGGAAAAACTTCAAAAATAACCAAGGAAACGCATAAAACATGTCAAACACTGTATTGTCAGCATTGTTCATTTTCTCTGAATCAAATTTATGCCGACAAAATGAACTCTGAAGAAAATACCGAGATTCCCGATAATATCCTAGACTAGGACCTAGAGCAAGCGGCACAAGCGACCGCGAATTTATTACCAGTAAGATCCAGGTCTAGTAGTTCCAAGTTGTTCCATTTCTACAACTGTGAAAATATAGTAATTTTCCTAACAAGTGCGTTGACCCGAACGACGCGAAGCGGAGTTCGGGCAAGCAGTCTAGTGCGGGAAAGACACTTTCCGCATGAGTTAGGAACAATATTTTTTCTACAAGCGCCGAAGGAAATTGATTGATTTGTTCAATCAATTATTTCTGCAAATAGGAACATCTAACAATAGTGATATATTCTCTGTCTTCTAATAATTAGTGATATATCTATTGTGTGTACCGTTTGAATCATTATGTAGGTAAGCTTATTGCGAAAGCCAGTATGCTCATGGTGTTTGGCCTCTAGATTTCAGACATTTCTAGGAAATGAGCCAAAAATACTTTTTCTTTATTTGGTGTTCTCACTTTTTTAATATTCAATAAATCCCGTGTAGTCCTTCATTGTTTTTCATTGCAATTCCACTGAATCGAAAATGACAGTAACGCTCTGTCTGTCACTCTGAGAATAGCACTAACTAATTTGTGTTTTGATTGACATGACAACAATTGTTTCCCACGTCACATCAATTGAAGGCTATAGGGGAATTTATATAACAATCAACTATTATTTTTCAATATTTCTCCATTTTCACAATAAATAATGCATTTTGATGGATGATTTTGTACAAACTCACTGAATACTGCAACAAAAAACCTAAAATTCTCACATTGTGTCTGTCATCCACCACTCATATCTTGCGGCAATATTATGTAAATGTTTTTCCAGCAATAGTGTGGATAAACTTTACCCCCACTACTGTGGGAAAATGACACCAAACTAAATTGTGTGCGGGTATAGGGTGAATCACGCACGCTTGTAGAAAAAAAATGTTCCAAGTTTCACTTGTGTCTTTTTTATGTAATATTTCATTATTATATTTTCATTTTCATCGAATCGTAATGAGAAATATCGTTCATTACCCATCCATAAATATTTTTTCCGCTCTTGCATGACTTCCCGTGTGAGGCGCAGCGCACGGAAAAATCCCTATTTTCAGACTCGTAATGAAATATACTATTACATATTAAAGGAGGCAATAAGTCATGGAATCATCTCCTACATGAAATTAAGGAACAAATTGTATCTACCAAAGTATACACTAAACATTTTTCTAAGCCGAGCTATATAATTGTTTTCGAGATGCTTCGTCATTGAGGAAAATGAGTAGGGGAGGCGGAAATAGTATTCTGTACCGTGGGATTTGTTAGGTTGACAACAGCATGAATAGGTCAATTAAAACAATTTCCATGCAATATTCCGATGATGGAGACTACTCTCGCTTCCTAATTCACTTGTTATCAGTGTTATTGTTACTTTACGCCTCGAGTTTCATAATCGAATGAGAACTTGATTCACGGAATTTATTACCACATTCATGTAATATGCAGAAAGGTAAAAGGGAAGTTCGGGATATTAATAGGTGGAGTCAACGTCACTAGCTCTTAATAACGGGAAACCTTGGAAGTAGATGAAACTTCCACGAATGAATTGCCTAGAGCATTATGAGGAACGGAAGCACTTATTGCAATGGAAATTACTTTACCTTCATTGTATTCCCATCATCAGTCTACACAGAGATGTTCTTCAGTTTCTGTAACGGTTGGGAGGTTTCGAAACATGTTTACAGAAACAAATAGGCTACTCTTTGGATTTATTGTACACACTCAGCAGGTACCCTCAATCTACCGCATGGTTTGGGTTTCGCTGTTCGTTAATATAGTAATAACATACGATTTTCTTCGAAATAATACGTTTCTACCTAGATTCCATGCATAAGGACGTTCGTGTTTACTTTTTTTTTTATCGCTTGGAGCGCACGAAAGGGAATCCCTATAATGTTCCTAGGGAGGATAGGGATAGGTGGTAGGTATTGGATTTTTTGTGAACTTCTGAAGATTATATGATGTTGGGAATACTTCCTCAGACAATGAATTCCAGAGCCTAGCCGTTCTATGGATGAAGGAGTTTTGATAAAGTGCTGCTCGACATCTTTCGAGGTTGACAACGAAAGGAGGTGCTGACTGGGCTTGTCTAGTTCGTCTGACTGGTATTGCTAGTGAAGGGATGATAGCAGAGATTCCCGAAGAACATTTCCCGTGGAAGTATCGAGAGAAAAGTGAAAGGTCGCCGACCTTTCTACGGTGTTCCAATGATGTCAAAGAGTGAGTGAGTGTGGCGTCACCCACCAGGCGGATGGCTCTTCTCTGGATGGAATCTAAGAGCATCAGCGTATGTTTTGGTGCTGAACCCCATATGTGGGAAGAGTATTCTAGAACAGGCCGTATCTGCGCTTTGTAGATCATGAGAAGCTGTTGAGGTGTAAAGTACGGAACAAGAGTCCGAGTTTTTGTGAAGCAGCTTTTGCGATGGATCTGACATGATCATCCCATGAAAGAGTGTCGCTGATGGAAATACCGAGCATAGATATGGTGGGCTTGGTGGGGATGGTGGTGCCAGACATTACAATGTCGGGCATACTGAGTTCCGCCATTCTAGAGAAAATACAGGCTTGAGTTTTGGTGGCGTTGAATGCAACTAGGTTGTTGGTTCCCCAGGCTGTGATTTCAGCAAGGTCTTCATTCCTGGGAAGGAATGGGAATTTTGGGAGAGAACGCAGTATGGAGGGTACTATCATCTGCGAAGCTGTGGATGGGGCAAGTTGTTACTCCCAACAGATCATTGATATGAAGAAGGAATAATGTTGGTGCCAACATTGAGCCTTGTGGAACGCCGGAATTGATGCCAATGGTATTAGACGATACACCGTCCACCACCACATGAAGCGATCTGCCTGAAAGAAAACTCGATAAGAGATGGCACAGCTGAGGTGGTAAGCCGTATGATGGTAGTTTGTGGAGGAGTCCTTCGTGCCAAACAAGGTCAAATGCTTTCGATATGTCCAACGCGACAGCTAGAGATTCCCCGTGTTTTTCTAATGAAGCTTGCCATAAATGGGTGACGTAGGCAAGTAGATCTCCAGTAGATCTTCGGTGCTAGCCCCTATAGCGATTGTTTATGTTGACTCAAAATTTTCAGAATTTCATTAGAATGGGAAAATGCCATGTTCAATGAATTATTATACTCTCAAACTCTCCGAAAGAACATAATACCTAATATCGATAAATTCATTGGCCTTATTCTGGCTGAAAATGCTCGAAAGCATGGATGGTTGGCTTTATGGTTGATGCATTGGTATGATTTGAGTATAGTAGGTATTCAACAATGCATTCAGAAAAGAGGATTACACTCCATCATTCAGTGTAGATTAGGTGATGCCATTTTTAATACCTACATTCACGTTGTTAGTGACAACTGAATGAGTTTTTCACACACATAACAGTCACTGGCTCTCTGAAATTGCCTTGGAGACTGGGATGAGTTTATTGTTTATTCATGATATTTTGTGATATTCATGATGGTGATGTAATTACGGTGGAAAAACAGATGAACATTAAAATTATGGCATTTTTTAATTGGAACTATGTTATTAGGCCTTTGACACTGTGAATCATTATATACCACTGGGTATATATATTCAAAATAGGTACCAGAAGAAAAATTCACGATTGGTTCGAACATCATTCTGAAAATGAAATGGAAGAATGGATCTGAGACCAATTCTGTTATATTTCATTTACATCATCTCAATATTTCCTTTGAGAATGAAAGTGACACTGACCTCATTTGCAAATAATATCAAAATATGATTGATATGTTAAATGACCAATAATCTGACTCTCAATGAATCTTTGTATACTACATCTGAGAAAGTACAGCCCACATATTGAAACAATAAAGGGGAATTGTACTTATTTTGTTGTTTTGTTCTTGTTATCCTATTCAGATATTTGATGTTTAATTTTTTACATATTATCATGTATTTTTGCACTTTAGTGATAGAGGGTAGAGTTTACATTTACATAAAATGGTCAAATAAAATTAATAATATATCCGGTTCTGAAGTATCATTAGATTTTATATTATACAAAAAATCAAATCGTTTCGAGAATTGTGATCACATGAAAATCAAAAAGATTCCTCAGAGGATATAGCTTGAAACTCTTTCTCAAAATTCAATTGGAGTATGCACGTGAAAAGGAAAACTCCTAAAGGTTGTATGACACCTGTTGAATTTGATGACGAATATGTTAACGAAAATGATGACAAAAATATTTTGTATGTGTCATGAAGTGAAAAAGGTGTTGATTTTGCGCAGATTTGCAAACATTCTTGTAAAAATATAGGACTGGTTCTGAATATTTTGATATTATAAATATTTATGCTGTATGGCACATAGAAGATATTTTCGTTATCATTTTTATTATCATATTTGTCATCAAATTCAACAGGTGTCATACAGCTATAATAAAAAATGCGTACGTGTTCCAGAAGTTTCGCAACATATTGATGACATTCTAGGATTCACAACCTCCAGATACGTTTGAGATGGATCATTCTTGAATCTCCTGTATCCAGAGTTTTATGCACTTTCCAAATAATTTCAGATGTGAAAGGCATACTTAATTGTTTCTGACTGGGTCACAATTGAATGAACGGAGCGTGGTAAGAAAACAAGAATCGAATCGAAGGAATGGAAAAACTTCCAATCATCCGAAAGAAAATAGAATTGCGACCAAAAATTGTTCCGAGAAAAATAGAGATCACAGCTTCAGATGGCTTCAGGGGTATTCACAATTTGTCCGAGAGGGTGCTTATCAACAAAAATACTCACTATGGACAGTGAGCACATGAGTCTGCACTATATCCTTGTTCCTTTGCGCATGGCAAGTATAATTGCCAGCATGCTGCAACTGGATCCGCGTCAGATACAAGCTACCGTCTCCGAAAACCCTGACGTCCTCCTCGTTGAGCGATGCTAAGTCCACTTGATTTCTCCGCCAGACGATGGGCGGCACCGGCGATCCAGTGACGTCACATTTTATCTCGACGTTATCGCCGACTCTGGCAGACAGGTGATTAGTTTCGAGGGCTTTGTCCAAGGAGACGACGTACACACCTGAAATAGGGTCTGAGATCATTCTCGGGACGATTCAAATGTCGATTTGATCCAGGCTCATGACTTTTTAAAACAAGTCACGAAATAGCAAGATAAGATCTCGGATAATTCATTTTTTAGTCAAAAATAGTCACTGTTTCATTGTTATATAATTCTATTTATTTCATGAGTGTAACACGAAAAAAAAAAAAAGGATTTGTTGCATCAACAAATTATTCATATGCTCGAATTAGTTTTGTTGGACTGAGCAATTTTTTGTTGAATCAACCAGAAACATGATTATTTCATGGAAGCAGCTTGTTCAAATCAAGAATGTAATATAATTGAATTAACAGTATAATATCGATTCCATCAACAAAATATATTGTTTTCTCGAAAACAAATTATGTCGATCCAAAATAATGTCGATGTTGATTCAACTATGAATATTTTGTTAATTTGATGAAATCAAGTTGAATTTTCGCCTCTAGATGGCGATCATTTCGCCTCGTCTATGCCTGCCTCGAATTCATTATATACGTGAAGCCTGATTCTTTCTGTTTGAAATATCAGCTGGATAAATCGAACTTAGGATGATTAGCAATCCGAAATAGTTTGACATCAGCTAAAGGAAAGTAAAGACTGGAGATCTATGCTAACAAAACAATTTGTCGAATGGAAATACATTTTCTCTTGAATTAACGAAATATTTCATTGAATAAACAATATTTTTCATTGAATTAACAAAATATTTTATTGAATTAACCAAATATTTCATTGAATCAACCAAATAATTCATTGAATCAACCAAATATTTATTTGAATCAACCAAATATTTCATTGAATCAACTAAATATTTTATTGAATCGATATCTTGTTATTTTGAATCAAACAAAATAATTGTTTGAGCCAATTCAATATCTCTTCATGAACAATTCATGGATGTGCTTGATTGAATAAGATACAGAGCTCATGAAAGACATATTCACTCAATTCTTTTATTTGCTTCATTCAATAGAATTTTGCTTGATTCCTTTTTTACGTGATAAACAGTATCTTTCAGATAGTTGGTATCATATGGAAAATACTTTTAATCATAATATTTTTAAATTGGATTTGAGCGATCAGTTTTGCTTGAAGAAATATTTAAAATGAACCATTCGACTAGGGTCAAGAAACTCACGCTACATGTCAGAAGTTTTTTTTTAATTAATCGCTGCAAATGGTCTCAATTGTTAGAATTTCAAGAACTTTTACTGAGAATAGTTTCTTATATTCCGATTTTATACATGGAAGTTTATTTGATATTTGTTCAATTTCTACGAAATTTTTGTAGTATTAGAAAAATTGTAACTTCGACAAAACTGTTACATACCAGTATAGCTTTATCATGCTATCAATCCAATTGATCTTCATCGACAAAAATATGATTTACTCAATAAAATAATAATCCTACTTCAAATTTCTGTTATGTTTGATGGAATGTTGATGTATCGTCAACCAATTATAAGCAGCAACATTTTTTCAAATCGGGTTCTTCTGGATTAAGATGATGGCTAAAGTCATTGATTGAAATATCATCAAACTACTTCACGTATTCAAAAGCTTAGGACATTTTCGTCGGACTTCAAATTTTATTAAATATTACAGAAACTTCGTAGGAATTGGAAATATATCAGAAACCAAAGGTATGAATGAATTTCGAAATAAACGTGTGAATTGGGAATAGACAACTTCCCTATGAAAGGTTTTCGAATTTGAACAAATAATCCTATAGGTTAATAATTTGAGAAAAAAATCTTGACATGTAGAAAAACTTACGCTGAAGTCATGCCTACTTCCTGAATGTCACTGTACATATTTTAACTATTATAATACTATTATATAAGTGATATGACTCTCCTATCACTATATTACATGATATTACATTGCATTATACTGTTTGTTATATGACTGACCTAAAACTCATGTTCAATTGCATGAACGTTATAGCGATTAACATTTCTAGATTTCTTTGAAATGTAGTCAGTTTTTTTTTCAAAATAGATTAGAAGTTCATCTTTCCTTTGATGCCAATCAATGACGTTCAATGTGGAATGAATTCAGTCAACTATACATTTCGGCAGTAAATTCAACCACCAAACCTCTAATCGTCATACACTCGAACATATGGTGGAAACCTGTCAACTTCCGGTTACAAATTATAAAACAATATCGCAACATAGTCAACTTCGTAATTGGCCTTTACACGAACACACTTCTGAAATTATTCATCGGTGGCATGTATTGATAATTGATATTGCTTCCTGAATTTACAAACATGAGGCCCGAAGTAATTCAGTAGAGTTCTTGTCAATCATGAATGAACATTATTCGATGTCAATTTGTGAAAATCAAAACTATCTGGAAAACATCAGTGAACACTGCATCCAATCGAAAAGTTCCAATAGGGAATAGGGTGTGTACCTATTCCCAAATGACTAATCAGATGATGTTATACTACAATACTATATACACTGTATCCAAGATAAGGATGTCTATCATGGTGATCGTTTCAATTTTTTCTTATGTTATTCAAAGAGATATAGTACAGGAAAACAAAATACAGTAGAGTTCATGTCAATCATGAATGAATATTATTTGATGTCAATTTGTAAAATTCAAAACTATCTGGAAAACATCAGTGAACACTGCATCCAATCGAAAAGTTCCAATAGGCAATAGGGTGTGTACCTATTCCTATATATACCTACATGTTTTCCGAAGAGAAAGGCGAGTGATCATAATATAAAAGCCCCAGTCAGGTGGTTCAATGCTTCTTTACGAGAAATTGACGATAACCTGAAATTTCCTCTGAATAAAATCGATGTGGTTGCGCCATGAAAGTTTAGTATCAAGTACAATTCCCAGGAAATTTGCATTTGCAGTAATTGTTTTCTGTTTATTCAAAGAAAGTTTATTCGTTGAAAACCATGTTTAAGCTGTCCTCATGAGATTGTCTTGATCAATTATCAGAGAATTGTAGGAGTTATGGCGATTTATCAAGTTGGTGTCGTCCGCAAAGCGAATGCAATTATTTTGGGGTGAGACAAAATCACAGAGATCATTTATAAAGACTAAAAACAGGAGTGGACCCAAAACTGAGCCTTGGGGTACCCCATGCTTGATAGGGATAGTTTCAGAGCTGGTATTATTTTCTAGGTATCATTTTATTAATGAAAGAGGTGCCCCCCTGACTTCATAGTTGTTGAGTTTCTCGATCAAAATATCATGAGAGACACAGTCGAATGCCTTGGTGAGATCACACAAAGTGACAAATGTGTGATAACCACTTTCCAGGCCCTCGACTATGTTGCTCACTAATTTCTGCATTGCCTGTATCGTGCTTCTCTTCGGACGGAAACCAAATTGATTTCCATTCAAGTAAAACTTAGCTTCAAAATATTTCAACAGTCTGGCCTTCAGTAATTTCTCAATTAATTTGGAAAATATTGAAACTATACTGATTGGTCTATAATTGTCTGGTGCAGAGATATATCTCCTTTTCTTTTGAAGATAGGAATAACTTTTGATAGTTTGAGTACATTTGGAGATTGGCCAGTGGAGAACATGAGATTTATTAAGGAGGTCATTGGTCCCACTAAAATATCTGAGGATTCTTCAATAATACCACTATGCAGGATATCGCAAGAAGTACGGAAGATCATGATTCCCACAGAACTTATCATATACATTTGTCTCAAATTTGAACGATTTATTATGACTTTCAGTTCTTGATATTTCTTTATTTCTTCGAATTGTAGCTTCAAAAAAACTGTCCTAAACTTTGCTCAGAGGCGTGAGCACTTTGATGATAGATAACTTTGGCATCATTTTAGTACTGGAAAAACCAATTCAAATGCATCAAACATAACAGAAATTTGAAACGGGGATTATTTTCTTCTATAGTTATAGTGAATTAAAGTTGTTAGCATGATATGAAGCTACTAGAATGAAATAGTTTTGTCGGTGTTAATTGAAAAAATATCAAAAATTAAAAGTGGCACTAGAACGTTCAAACTCGAGACACATATGTAAAATTGGAATGTAAGCAATATTTCTCTGTGAACTTTATTGAAATTCGAACAAATAAGCCTATTTTCAGCGAATAATTTGAGAAAAAAGTTTCTAAATCTTGACATGTAGCGAAAGTCACGTGCCGAGTAGTCAATTTTTCATATTTTTTGAACCGAAATTTAATACCCAAGTCGAATTTCGAAATAAATTGTTATTGAAAGTTAATCCCATATGATATGCCGACTTTATGAATGACACTGTACATATATATAGACTTATTAGCTGTCCTAACCATTTTATACATGTTTTTTTCAACTGCAAAACTTCGATAGGTCTTACTTCAAGTCATAAGAATAAGGAAAAGTGTCCAAATGAAATAGTTAAGAAAAAGCGTCGTTTTTGCTATTATTAATATCACGCGAGAAACCTCAATCAGTTTTCCTTGAAACTATAGGTGAAGTGAGGTTTAAATTACTTGAACAGTTCACGGCCTTACTTCAAGAAGTTAATAAATACCCTTTTGGAGGGGTGGAAGAACTTACAGCCACAAATCCACCACATAAACAATTTGATGATGACCAACGGTCATGGACATATTTTTTTTTTATCGCTTGGAGCGCACGAGAGGGAATCCCTATAATGTTCAAAGAACATCGTGCGTTCCTAGGGAGGATAGGGACAGGAGGTAGGTATTGGAATTTTTTTTTAACTTTTGGAGATTATATGTTGTTGGGAATACTTCCACAGGCAATGAATTCCAGAGCCTAGCCGTTCTATGGATGAAGGAGTCTTGATAAAGTGCTGTTCGACATCTTTCGAGGTTGACAACGAAAGGATGTGCTGACTGGGCTTGTCTAGTTCGTCTGATTGGTATTGCTAGTGAAGGGATGATAGCAGAGATTTCCGAAGAACATTTCCCGTGGAAGTATCGATAGAAAAGTGAAGGATCGATCCTTCATCATCATCAAATTTATAAAAAGAAAATCTGTAAGAAGAAAATGAATTTTCATTGAATTATATCAATGACTTTGAACGTTATTCAAGAAAGTCTAATTTCCAGCGGCGTCCTTCAGGGGCCTACGTTGCCGTAAGGAGGAGGGTCTATGGTTAAAATCATTTGTCCAGGTCCTATCCGAATCCGAAGGATTTCTCCTATATTTGGACTCCCTGTATATTATGCAACGATAATCACTTTGAAAAACTTAATGGGCTTATCGAATCACTTTGTAGGTATGTAGCACAATATGAAACAATCTGGTACGTGAATCTAGTGATGGCATAATTAGTACCAAATACCACTACAATATTCCAACAAATTTGATCATAGATTTTTGCGATATTCACGGAATGGCGCTTTTTTTTCAAATCTTTGACTCCTTGTATCTTGAAAATGGTGTGTTTTCGGCCACATGTTTACACCACCACGAACTTTTCGACTTGGAATAACTAAAAAAATCAACTCTTGAAAAGTTTAGCCACATACATATAAATAACAGCCATAGGTTCATCTTAGTTGACGCAGGAAAACTCAGCTCACTCTCTAACAGCTTCCTCATCAATATTTTTATAAGAGGAAATATATTCAAATAATCCATATACTGTATCTATTACCTTCACGAAAAAAAAGGAATTGTTGAATCAAGCAAAATATAATTGAATGGAGCAAATATAAGTGTCATATATGCACGACAAAATATAATCTTGAAATGAGTAAATCTATATCTTGTTTCAGAGCGAATTTGAAGTTTGAATCAAGTAAATTTGTCTTGCATGAACTCTGGATCTTCTTCAATCAAGCACATCCATGAATTGTTCATGAAGAGATATTGAATTGGCTCAAACAAACATTTTGTTCGATTCAAAATAACAAGATATTGATTCAATCAAATATTTAGTTGGTTCAACGAAATATTTGATTGACTCAATGAAATATTGGGTTGATTCAATGAAATATTTGGTTGATTCAATGAAATATTTGGTTAATCCAATGAAATATTTTGTTGATTCAAGAGAAACTATATATCCATACGACAAATTGTTTTGTTGAACCAAATTCAATATTCAGGAATTTTTTGGAATTTCACATCAATAGAATAAACAAAACTAGGAAACTAGTCGACTCCTAGCATAGATCCTCCCATAGATCTTTAGTCTTCACTCCTCTTTAGCTGATGGAAAACGATTTCGGATTGCTAATCATCCTAAGTTCGATTTATCCAGCTGATATATCAAACACGAAGAATCAGGTTTCACGTATATAATAAATGAACTCGAGGCTGGCAATGACGAGGCGAAATGATCGCCATCTAGAGGCGAAAATTTAAGTTGATGTGGAATGAACAAAATATTTCATTGATATTACATATTTCGTTGCTCTATTCAAGCAAATGATCCGTTCAAAACGAGTTCATTGATACATCGGAATAAGACAACTTGTATGTTGTTTCAAAGATATATTCTCATCAAAATGATCATTGTTTGATCAAATCAACGAAATGTTTATTGTTGAATCAAAATCGACATTATTTTCAATCGACATAAATTGTTTTTGAAGAAACCATATATTTTGTTAATGGAATTGATATTATACTGTTGATTCAATTAGACTACATTCTTGATTTGAACAAGCTGCTTCCATGGAATAATCATGAAACTGGCTGATTTAACAAAAAATTGCTCAGTCCAACAAAAATAACTCAAGCATAAATAATAAATCCTTCTTTTCCGTGATTCATGTGGTTGTATTCTCCAATCTGTAGTTGATTGTAAAGGTTATTATACTTACTATATAATTTGCTGAATGCTACGTAGAATTCGTTGATGCTCAATTTTCCATCGTGATCTGTATCATCATACTGAATCATGTTGGATAAAGAACATCCATTGCTTAGCGTATCCAGTCTCTCTTGAATTGAAATCTGAAGAATAAATAAGTAAGAATTCCTTCAATGAACGTCGATGTTGGCACGCGAATTAAAATAGTTATAGGCCTGCTGGTATATCCGCCACTGTTGGGAATCATTTTCAAACATATTTTTGGAAATCGAACTCCAAAACAAGGATAAATTTACCATGACATTTCTGGCTCAGTAAAGTAGTTTAGTTTCCAACTGCCATAACTTGTCGAAATTGGGCACCGGCTTTCACAACACATCTCAACTAACTGTTTCACTCACCTCATTCAATTCAGTCGCCTCCAAGTTCCCATTATTATTCCTGTCATAGTGGGAAAACATAATGGAAACCAAGTAATCCTTGCTATGATTATCCTGTGACATCAGTCTGGCGTGGTTGTACAATAATAAATTATCCTGGAAACAAAAAGACCGATACAGGACAAGTTTATTGTGGTTCAGGCGAGATGGGGAAACGAATGTGGTGATAAATTTCGTGGATGCATGCTGCGGCAGCATAGCTGGACAATTTTCGTCTTTTGTCAACATTTTTCACAGGGTTATTCATTCGCAAGTGTCGAAGCGCAGCTCTCTATTCTTTGTTGGCCCTTCAATTTGGAAGTATGAGTGCTGCAAATCTTTTCATCCCCATTGAAACCGAAATACTGATTTCATAGCTTGATTGATTCATCACATCTCGGGATTGAAGAGATTGAAGCGATGGAGGAACGTCTATCTGTTCAATCCTCGCGGACCAAAATATTCACATGATGAATATCTCAGACAGTGTGACTTCTCTTATAGCACTCATTTCCCAATCAAAGAATACATTTACAGCACCAATGCAACTGATACAATACAACGAGTTCACACTGTCGTAGTAGCCACAAGAGGTTCACAAGAATCTTTGTAAAACGGATTCAAAAGGGCTTTCAATAAGTGATATCATGAGGTTCTGAATATTCGAGATAATTCTGTCGCTTCAGAACGAGTGGAATTGCTTGACGGCAACACAATTGAGTTAACAATGAAAGACAGAATTATAAGAAGATATTCAGAACAGAGTGATGAAAAGCAGTCATATCTAACAAACATTGATGGAATCATGTAACTTTGATACGTTTTTTGCCCTTTTGACTTGATAGGATAGATGGAATTGTTCAGGATATCCCCTAGTGATTCATTCATGTATTTGGGGAACAAAGTCGCTTGAATCTTCAGTTGGATTATTGGTCTTCTTTTCTCCTAGCCTTTGTCCTTCCTAATCGAATATATACGAAGGGATAATTGACAGCTGGAAAATGGAGTGTGGAATTCGATTAGGCACTATATACTTCCTATAGAAGTAGACTGTCTTCGAGCTCTGGATCGGATGAAATCGATAAAATATACACGGATCACATTACAACTGACACGATTAAATAATGTTCCATGTAAATTTTGCCTCTATATACACCAGAATTGTTATTTGAAAAAAGTCTTGGATGCAAGGTTTTATTAGATAGGTACACGTTTTGCAATGGTTATTCATGTGATCAAAACTGATGAATATTCCACTTTGAAGGGATTTACACGATACTGAGGCCCATATTTATAGTCGCTCCTTATGCTGACCTCGTCCCTTAAGGCATCCTTAAGGACAAGTTTCCACTTTATAGTCGTAATATGAGCTCGAAAGAAACCTCAAGGAAATGTCAATTCCAAGGTAGGGAAAGAGGTACACTACACTGTTTTACCACTAACCAAACCGGTTTTTTAACGCCTCGACACGTGTTTCGCTAACTATGTTAGCATCTTCAGGAGAAGATGAAAACTGAGTTTTAATGAGTTTTAATCTTCTCCTGAAGATGCTAACATAGTAAGCGAAACACGTGTCGAGGCGTTAAAAAATCGGTTTGGTTAGTGGTAAAACAGTGTAGTGTATTATCGTGCCAAAGGTTCCAGTCTTCGATATATGGTTTTGATAGTGTTTGATCTGGAACGCTTTCCAGGATTCATGAATGAAATGATGAAAGTGAATGTAGTAATCAAACGAATATTCAAGTCTCGAAATTTGTACAGAGAAACTGATTCGAGTATATCGATTTTCAGTAGAAGCTGAGAAATAGGATTTCAAATGATAGGTATCACCATATTTTATATGTTCATGAAAATGAAATACATAGGTACATTTTCAAAATGAAACTGAAACAACAAGTTTTGTCACAGAACACTATCATTATACACTGTTGCCAAGTGTAGGGGCTCCTTTCAGAAGGACTACTCAAGGAGGAACTATAAAACAAATTTGACTTCAAGTGCTGAGGAGTCCTCAAGGAATCCTTAGATGAGGAAGACTTGAGTTCTTGAGGAAGCGACTATAGATACGGGCCTGAATGACTGAAGGGAACAATCATTTTCAGTCCTTTCGTTTTGTATGTAGTCCACAAATTGAAAACCAGATATCACGATACTTTTGATGATCGATAATATAATCAAGTCACAGAACATTAATTCAAAAAAATCCTGATGTAGGAATTAGAATTAAATTTGATTGGGCACTAGTTTCCAGTGGATTTCCAAATATTTATTCGATGTGCAAAAACAATCCTCTACATCATGCACAATGTGAAATGCTCTGTACTTTTCCATTTATATGAACTGAAATCAGAGTGAAACAGATCAACGAAATATCGGAAATGTTCACACTGTGGAATACCGCAATAAAAAGGAATATTTACTATAGCGGCCACGAAACAAAAACCGATGACATATGACTGGCGTAACGATATTGAAACCAATCTGATTTGATTCGTATCATGCTTTTTTATGTCTCGTTTGTTCGATTCTCTGATATATTGCCTCTACTTTTCTTTGAAAAATATGAAAATATGTATAGTATCACACTAGAAAATTCTATACTTGGTGCTTTGTGTTTATATTACCTAGAAAAATAGAGATAACAGTTATCGAGATGTTTATCATAATTCGGGTGCCGTTGATAGAAGCATTTTGAGTATCAAACCAGGTACCATCACACGGAATTGTTGAAATTGCAATAATTCACAATCAACGTTTTTGGTAAGTTCAACCGAGAGTTCTACAATTTAATGAATCAGGATATTGTCGCAACTCAGATGGACCTTCACCACGTGTCGCAACTCAAACATCACTTTTACTTCGATGTATCACCTTCATTCCGAAAATAAAGAGAATTGTTTTTCAAAAGTACAACAAACAATTTATTCAATCACGAAAACATAAAAATGTGCCAGAAGGGCGGAACAGCAGACAACAAACATAAAACGAGCGAACAACAAGAACAATATGATGGTTCTTGGTACTTGGCAGCAGCACCAAAGTTGAGAAGATGACACACCCCCAAAGTGACATAGTGCCACTTTGGACGTCAGCAATCGATGAATGAATGTTATATACTGATTTTAATATGATAATTGATAGTGATGAATCGAATAACAATTGAACTAATAATGACCATGATGCCTCATCGATTTGGGATCTATTTATATTTGAAATCGATGCTAGATTTCCAATTTTCCGCAATGGGAACGGCCGTTACCTTTCGATATTGCTTACCTAGGTATTATCGCACGGTAAGCGGTTTTTGCAAACTCTAAAGGAACTGACGTCTATGAACTCCGCTGACCTGATCGAAACCACACTGAACTGGATGTTTTTATTTGGAAAAGATAATTTATGATAAAAGTTCGCGAAATGAACTAGAGTTTGAGTGATGGTAATTCATAGGCATTTGTACTTCTCGACAATATCATGTTCATGATATATGTACACGTTCTAGTTTTACCTTCAAAATCTCGTATTCTTGCATGGAGCAGTCATCTTTATCAGAATAAATATCGTTAGATTCTGGTTCCTCCATATCGTCTATTTCATTTTCCATATACTCAGGTTCTTCTGAAGTTGTTGAAAAAATGAAGTCATCAGTTTCCTGCAAAAAAAATTGTGCTATAGGAGCAGATAATCAGAATTATTTCTGGAGCACATTCCAGATATCATGCAACATTTCATGCACTAGTGATTCAGGAACTGGTGAAGTGTTTCTGCACTCAATGTACAGGGTGTTTCATAATTGAATGCTGATCCTAAAGGGCGATGATCCTTGGATGATTTCAAGAAGAGAAGTTCATATCAACATATGTCCTGAACCTCTTAGTTTTTGAGCTACATGGTGATGAAATCAGAAGCGTACAGCGTTTTTTTAAACTGAACATTCGATATCAGGTCTACGAGGACATCACTGGTAAAAGTAAAAGTTTGATTTTCGTCCCAAAACAAAATGTGTTTCCACTTATAGTGGGTGTCTACTGAATTACCAAAAACAATATCCAAGAACTGAAGGAACAAAATTCTTTGGCTTTTATTTTTTTACGCGAAAACGGTACGTTTTATGAAAGTAAGTCTAGGAACCAAATTTGCTCCAAAATGAATAAGAATTGAAAAAATAATCTGGTTCTCGAAAAAATCAGTGGCGTACTATTTTTTTCTTCAAAAATTGTCAGTTCAAACCCCGTACGGACGCCACTTGTGATAATTTTTAAATTAAATATCTTCCACGTGAAAAAATGCTCCTTAATAATGAAAAGGTGTATACAGAATATCATAACAATATCTGAGAGTGATAAAAAATTATGATGAAAAACTCATTTTTTCTTGAAATTTCATCACCCTGTAGCTCAATAACTAAGAGGTTTAGGACATATGTTGATATAAACTTTTCCCTTTGATATCATCCAAGGATTATCGCCCTTAAGGATCAGCATTCAATTATGAAACACCCTGTATATGTTTCCTACTTACTCGCATGTGTTAAACAGGGGTAAATATAAATATACATTATACACTCAATGGAGAAACACTATACTAGTTCCTGCCAATGGAATTTGATGTTTGATTAACTTCAACTAGTTGGCGTCTTGTACTCGGAGGGTTAACCTCTAAACCCCTCCATTTCTGCGTCACTGATGGCATAAGGGTTGTTTGCCAAGGGATTAGTGAGAGTCACGTCTTCGTGTATAATACGTGTGATTTGAACTGGAGTGCCGTTATTTAGAAACGAGTGTAGATGTCAAGATAAGAGTGAAGAGGATAGCGTACGAAAAATCAGAATGGAAATTGTGAATTATTCATCGTGCGCATAATGACGGCTATTACTCACGAAGATTGAAATCTCAGTATCAACCGAAGACTGAGTGAGTATTAGCCATCAGACGAAAGTATATACTTTGTATCTATGAATAATGAATTGATTATACACCCATCAAATTTTGAATTCTGGGAAGTTATTGCCATCCATTGTTTGGGTGATTACACCGAAATCCTTCCTGTCAGATAATGAAGATTTTTGTGATTGTGACTGAAATATGTGGTGTTCAACTATAACTACTCAAAAACATCTTGAGATATAAAAAATCAGAAGATCCTCTTCACATGAGAAAACATGTTTCGGACCGAAATATGGAGTTTATCATCAGTCTATACATTTAAAAATGGATACCTATGAAAAGTGATATATCAGCTACTGTGTTAGCGGAACATGTCGTGTGATTTAAGAATTCTGTGAAAATATTATCGTTTGTGAAGTTATTTAATTTACTATAGAGTTCTAAGTAACGGCCGAAAACTATGTGAATTCGCTGGTATTCACCCCATGATTTATTCGAATCGGTTATTATCAGAAGGGATCAAGTGACATTTATGCAGTTTTGAGAAAACTTGAAAAATACATTTTTCTACATTCATGCAAAAAGCAGAACTTTATTGAACTATATTTAGTGGAAAAAGAAGTTCTTTATTGCACTTAGTGCAATAAAGTTTTTATTGCAGTCATCTGTCATTCTACTATAGATATGCTAGAGCTCAAACGACACGGCGGATGGACATCGTCGACAGTAGCGAAGGGATACGTAGAGGAATCACATGCAAACAAACTCAATGTTGCAAAACAAATATTTCAGCCTGAAGGAAATAACGATGTACAGTTACCAAGTACTAGTACGTTTACAGCAGTAACAAATCAAGAAGTGGATTTAAAAAGTACTTCACTACGAAATATTCATATTGAAAATTGCACCAATTGTTCATTCACTTTCAACTTTGAGGGTAAAAATAAAGTTTGAGTTAAATTGTTCGTAAAGTATTAGTTCCTGTTTCAATGCAATTCGATATTAATAATAAAGTATTCAAGTTGCGTTTTTAATTTTCCTACACCTAGTGCCGCACTTCAATAAATCATTTTTTGCTTTTTGCATGAACGTAGAAAAAATGTTGTATGCAACTCGTGCTAAAATTGTTTATTGCACTTGTTGCATAAATGACTATTATAGCTAACAATACTCAATTTTTCAAATCGATAATGACTGGATGTTAAAGTTGAGGTTCCAAAGAATCGTTTGGTGATTGTGAAAGGAAATATAAATGTTCAATTTCAGAAATATTTTTGTTCAAAACAATCGTACATAGTTCCTTTCAATTATTGACAAAAAAATTCAACATAACACATGAATACTGCACAGTCAAAACTTATTCTGAGAAAGAATGAGGCATTCTCCTCAGGAATATTGAATTAATCCTGTTTTGTGGTGGTGTTTCTTGCTCTTGTTTGCGAAGTTTCTAGACAATTGAATATCATTCTCATCCACTCACTGAATCAGTTAGTTTAGGTGTTATATTTTAGTATCTAGAATCGGAATTTAATTGCTACTATAAGCCAAGGAATGAAGCAGAGCTATTTTTTCATATTGTTTGGCATAATATAGCGTGAAGTGGTGGTATATCAGTCGATTGATAAAATCGGAAGCTCTGATGAAGCCAGGATTATCTTTCTCCTGTATGATGTGATGAGCTTTATTGTTAGAGGATTACATTTTGTTATATTTTCAACTGTGAGCGTGCATTCAGAAGTGGAATTATCAAAATGAAGTTACGACGCGTCTGAACTGCCATTGATAGATCCTTCATCTGTGAGTAATGCACAGAGTTTTTCACAGTATCACAGTAGGAATAAGGAAAAACAGCAAATGGTCCCGATCTGCACAGCTTCCACAATCCGCCACAATACACGTTACTGGCATTTTTTTCTTCAAAATCTTACTTAGTTTTCATTATTCTTCTTCTTCTTCTTCTTCTCTGCACAGGTGGGCGGGTGCGTAGACCCCTGCACTCAGGCCTCCTCAGTCGGGCCCATTGTGCGCCCACTTGTCCTGTGAATCAGCTGGGCATGCCGATTTCTTTGACGAAATTCAGCAGCTTCCTTAGCTGAGTCACTTTCACATCCTTTGGGTGCAGTACAATGCTCCCAAAGGCAGCTTTCCTCTGATGCACCAGCGCGGGGCATTCAGTGAGTATGTGTGATGATGTTTCATCATCCTCCAAGCACCATCTGCAGATGGGATCATCTTTGATCCCTATGAGTTCTAGGTGCCTGTTGAGGTGGTTGTGCCCAGTTGAGAGCCCAACTACCATCTTGAGATCCCTTCTATTAAGTGACAGGATCTCTCTCGTGAGCCTTTTTGAAGGTTCCTTTATATGGAGCTTTGATTGTCTCATTCCTGGTGTGTCCCACCATGTTTCAAGGAACTGCCTCTGTAGCATTTCCTTCATGAAGGACATAGCCGTACTATTGGGTATTCCCAATATCGGTTCTGGTCCAATGGGTGTCGTTCCTGAACCGATCTTGGCTAGTCTGTCTGCCTCCTCGTTCCCCGGGATACCAGAGTGTCCTGGAACCCCATTATTCACAATAAACTATAACCAAAACTGAATGAAATGATACTCTAAAAGGCTTCCAAAAGCCACAAAAGTCTTCAAGTAAACAAACGTGTCTCTGGTTTGTTTGCCAACCAGACGCCATTTTGAAATTATTTGACAGGTCGTTGGATTGCCTAATTACAAAAAACGTCAAAACAGCAGTGTCAAGTACATTTTCCAGGAACTCTAGTTTTAATATCATCATCTATTTATTCCGGTATGTACGAGGCCTAATCCCTGCTGGCTAGTTCGTAGTCCATTAGTACGGTGTCGCTAGTTAGGGGAATGAGAGTCGCGAAGGACGTAAACGCGGAGGTTTTTGTATGAGATTCGTGCACAACCATAAATTGGAGGTGTGGATTATCCGAATGGGACGAATTATGTGTCAAGTGGATTTCCGGGAGAAATCCCTGGAGTATTTTCCGACGGGTTTACGAGAGATACCGAAATTGGATCATCCACCGGACACAACATGAACAACGAAACTCATAGTCATCCTAAACATAATAAATGGTGGTTCAAGAAACTAAAGAACACGGTTTTATAGAAAGTCAAACTAAGAAGTAGTTGAAAATACATTAATTAAAATGTGTTGATAAATACAAAACATAGATAATATTAGCACCTCCGTAATTAGTACCTACATACCTCCATTTTGAATTCGATTATAATATGGATTTGATTTTTTTCTTTTGCTCATCAGGTCTTTTGGCGGCAAGTACGAAAAATTGAGTATGTATTTTATTATAATTATTGTGAATCAGCATAATAACAACAAAGACAGATTTTTGTTAAACTTAGAATATTGATGAACAAGATCTGCGCGTATATTCTGAACCTCGAATTATTATTTTGTTGAAAGAATCATATGAATAATTATATTATTACTCTGAATGATATTATGTACATATCTTCATATATGAAGAAGAATGCAAATTCTGTACTAACCAATAAATTTGCAATTTTTGGAAGTGGAATCACACAATTAGACCGACATATATTTGATTACTTCATAAGATGCCAGCAACGCAGGTGTCATTTCACGTTGATAGTTTTCTGATTTCAATATACTGTAATATATTCTCAATATTGATTCGTCCTTTTTTTCTGTCACAGAGAAGAAAAGTGTATTATACAGGGGAAAAATATTAGATTTTAGCTCACGGTTTTTTTTCTTCCTTCGCTACGAGTTGGGTGACAGCACAACCGGAAGCTGAAATCTACAACTGTTTTCCCTTGTATAATAAATCACTATATTAAGCCGACTACTGACATGAATAAAACACTTGAGACTACTAGGTTGATTTCGATACCACATCAAAGTCATGAACGACAGATTGGGGGTTCTTGCGTGTTGAGCAGAAGCGTTTTCAGGCGAGCAACTGACCCACAAGAGTCTCGAGATCATACCCGTGTGTTCACCGAACACGCTCGATCGTTACCTAAGCGGTGGGGAGACCGAGACGTAAGCAGGCAGTCATGATACAATGAGTGGGCAGGCAGCTTCTCTCATGCTGTCTTTGTTTTTGTAGTACGGGGTGGGCCACCAACAGTTTTCTTGATCACATTTCAACTTTTTTTTTTTCGAATGAATAAGAAACATTTGATAGGCATCAAATGATCTACTGCGAACTATCAGATAATGAAAGCGATGATTTGATTTGCAATAATTCGCTATGTCACGACGAGTCCTACATGTAAATAGCGAACCACTAATCGAAAATCATGAAACTATATGTACATATTATATGCTTATGTTTTGTTGGCGAGGACGCTCGTTTTATTCAAATTATTTTCGATAATGTTCATCTGCTTCATTAGAAATTATTATTAGTAGTTTTGTAGAACTTAGTAGTATAGTAGTAGCAGCTTTGTTATTCAAAATGGAACACCTTATATTTTATTACATTTTTCAATTCTTCTAATTGAGCTATGATTTCGTTGATCAAGCTCAAGGTATACCTATACGTAGAATGTGAAAAATCGAGATTTTTTTTGTATCGAAACTATACAATACCTATATTGATTTGTCAAAATGGCTTACATGTGTCCCTATCCTAACATTCTATTTACCATCTACTGATGCCATTTAATTGAAATAAATACAGGGTGGATCAGATTTCAGAATTATATAAAAAAACACACTCTAATATTCAACATAAAATAAAATTCAATCCCACTGGATGTATTTGAAAATATATAAACAGTGTGCATAGCACTTCTATAATGGAATATCAACCCGTATATCTAACGTAACTGTTCAATTTTAAGGAGAGATAGATATATATACCAACTATGACCAAAGTGAGGTAATCTTCAGTGAAAAACACTGCTCTGGTCATGGACCCACCAACATTTCCGGAAAATGATATTAGGAGGCAAGATATAGGTTGAAAATCACTTCGGATTCGAAATCAGGACGTAACCCTGTACCTCGAAAACGAAGCAAGTTTAGGACACATGTTTATATGACCTTTATTCATCATATTATATCACAAGGAATCATCCCTTGAATTATTTCGGTGTTATTTAGATACACCCTGTATAGATCATTCTTCATCCCAATATAGTTATTCAACATTTTTCCCATAGCAAAGTTCAGCAAATACCGATGGCGAGAGCACTATGTTTATTGATTTGATGTCTACCTATAATATAATATGTAAAACAAGAAGGCACAACTACTAGTGTTCCGTTTCGAAGTACATTAAATTGACAAATTTGACTCCAAAATAATTCAGGCACAGGCACGCGCCAATATTCATAACGTACCTAGTTACTGCTGCCCGTTTACGTTTCCCCACCGCTTAGGGAACGATCGGGCGTGTTCGGTGAACACACGGGTATGATCTCGAGACTCTAGTAACTGACCCTACATTTTCGGGCTGTTGCGATATGACTACTAGCAGTCTAGATAGATTAACAAGTCGGTGATGTAAACTCACCTCTTCAGATGCCGCATCGGTCGTACTAGCCGTGACATTTGTAATCTCGACGGGGACCATCGTAGTGACATCTTGTTTTGATGCTGGAGTGCTTGATGGCGATCGAAACTCATGTTTTACCTCTTGTTGACTGTTCCCTATCGGAGACCAGCCCTTTCCTGCAAACAAGGATATCACTGGAATCATAGTCGGTGGTGTATTGAAGCAGTTTGATGCGTATATAGGTTCCTGAAATCTTATTGACAATCTCTAATCAAACACGGAATGATATACCGATAATTTCACTATTGAAAAGTGAACATGAAAATGGTAGATTCGAGATCTATTGATGAAAAGATCCTCTAACTCATTTGTATACTAACATCATCACTCATCCATATGCCAACATAAGTTATAAGTACAGAATATTCGAAGTAAAATATTTTCGTTCTGGAAAGATAAGATAAGTAAAATTCGATAATTTTCCAATATATCTATATTTCATCTCTTCAAACTTTTCTCCAAACAAAGTGTCACTGACAAGCTTTTAGATTCTTCTTTTAGGCATCCTGATAGAAACATTTGTTAAACGCCTTGACATTTTGGGGAAAATCATCTGATTTGTCCTGCTAGACATATATTGAAATGATACTCATATTTTCATTTTGTAGAAACGAAGGAAGAAAATAAAAAATAGTCAGGTATATGTCGAAGCAACAATGTGTCTGTCACTTGTATGTTTGTCTTTTGAAATGATTATTTCAGGTTCTGTTAATTATCCATTAAATGATAGTAGAAAACAACAATTAAATTAACGACCTTCTCTTTATCATTCATAACTGGTGTCTTATCAAATACAAAACAATGAGTAGAATATATCTCTGGGAAATACCTACATACATGATCCCGAGAACGGAATACAGTATAGAATATTTTAGAACCAGGAGGGCTACCTTAAAATTCAAAGCATGATAACAACACAGTATCATCTATGATATTTTTCATTCGAATAATTTTTCTTTTTATAGCACTCTGCTCTTCAGCCCCATCATCAGAATTTTCACCTACTAGTATTTCAATTTGCTTCAGCATCATTTCCTGTAGGTTATTTAGTATAAAATGTGCGAGATTGGACATTATACCTACCGAAATAATATAATCTACAAGTTTTTTCGTAATCAAAATACTACAATCAAAAATTCAAATTACGGGCCAAATTCGTCAATAAAAGGTCACTAAAAATACTCTGATGTAAATTATGTTCCAATTACAACATCCTGGTTCAGTTCGAGTGTTCCGGTTCACTTCAGGAGTAACAAATTTTCAATTGGTAAGGGGCTCTTGTATAGAGATAAGAGATAAGATAAGATTTATTCATCCACGTTACATAATCAAATTCATTTGTGGAAAGTTAGACAGAAAGACAGAGCGAAGTATATAGGTAAAAATTGTGTAAAAAAAGTATTCAACCGATGTCTAATAGGCCGAATCAACTTTCAATTTCTTTTAGTGTAAGTATTAAAATTCTCATTTCATTGATAATTTTCTATATTCTTATGGATGTACAACAAACAATCAGGGATGTAGATACACGGTAAATGCAGTATTTAATAATTTACGGATATTGGACGACATGCGACTATCTCTATAATTCGCTTTCGCAATTATTCTCAAGACTCTTCTTCGGAGTCTGAATATTCTCGTAGAGTCAACTGCGTTTCCTCAGATAGTTATACCATAGTTCATATGGGAATGAAACAATTCAAATTATGCAGTTTTCAATACTGTTATGTTAGCAAAACTACTCAACTTTCTCAATAGGTAAATATTGGAGCTCAATGTTTTACTCAAATGCTCAATATGAGCTGACCATTTCAATTTATCATCCATGACAATACCAAGTAGTCTAACTCCAGAACCTTTGGCAAAAGCGTTATCAGTAGAGAATACAATATTTTGAGTTTTATTGTTATCGAGTTTCAGACAGTTGTGAATGAACCATGTTTCAGCTTTTGATTGGAAAACTTTGGAAGTATTGTCCGGATCGACAACTTTTTTATCAGATACATAAATAGTACAGTTATCTGCATAGCAAATACATTCAGTCGGACTCATATAATGAAAAATATCATTGACATAGATGATAAATAGAAGTGGCCCAAGGGTAGAGCCTTGAGGGACCCCAAACTGGATGTTGCTAATTTCAGAACATAATAACTTCCTTACCCAGTTTGATGCAATACGTTCCTCTCATGAACGTGAGAGCAGTATTCTGGAGGCAAGCTGCTCGGTGAAGCTCGCAATGGTTCGGATAGATTTTTCCATCCGAGCCACACACTGCCCTCTTCTGCAGAGGACACTGTCTCTGGCAGACGCATCTCGCTTGTTCGTCTTCCACTACACATTCTCTGCCTTTCATGCAGTACTGAACTAAACAAGGATCTGAAAGAGAAACGGCACAGTAAACACATACCCTTTGAACCCTTTCGCTCCCGATGTCCTCGAATGGAGACAGCCTAGTCTTATATGATTTTCATACAGCTCAGAATATTTTCACTTTATTTTCATATCAAATTTCCCTCGTGATAGTATGTCACTGAAAATAAACACGCCTGCAGCCATATAAGGAATATTCTGAGGAAGTGGGAATTAATAAAATGAACATCATTCATGAAAGTGATAATATCACTTTGTAGAGCTCTGTAAGTGGATGGCCCTACGAATTTCAGAGCAGTAACTTCAACTTTCAAAAATTTCGAAATATCGAAGAAAATTTGGAAATGAAACTGTTCTCACGGCTAAACGGTGCATTTTCGTATAAAGATAAGTTGATTTCAATCAGCCTATTTCGGTCTCTAGCCCACCTGGGACACCTCGTATATGTGTCAAACATCATTATTAGGACGTATGGTGATACTCAGGGAAAAAGTTTTCAGATACATCTATCCCTCACACCCTGTATTATTGGAATTATTTTCGAAATCTCTAACTGATCGTGGAATGAAATATAGGTTGTCCCATTTAAAAAATCAACTGGTTTCCTCTGGATCGTTCCGAGCACCCTCTATTTTCTGATATACCGGAAAAACAATATGAAAAATAATTCCAAATCACTTTTCGAGCATTGAAATCGGATCAAAAATAGCGGAGCCACAGGGGCGTATTTATGGTGAATCTCCCTGTACTTCATTACTTCGACCACAACGACTATTAAACGTTGAATCAAAACGTTAATACTTTCAAGCAATATCACGTAGAGAGAGACCCATTTACGAGGGTCTATTATTATGTGAAAAGTATAATTAGTAGATTTTCGAACTTTTCAAAGAAAATTAGACGTTTATTTCAGTGTTTCAATTTCATCAGGAGAAACTGATGGCACAATCGGAAAATACTGTCAATGACAAAAACCTAGAAAGTTAATCAGTTATAAAGGACTATTGCAGTTTTGAAATAGATTGTTTGTTGTGATTTAGAATATTCAAACGATTTATCCACGTTCATTTTATAGTTTAGATTTTCTCGAAAACTTCAGACAATGAATATTGGGCTACTTTCAGATGTGATAATACAACGTATGCAATACCTACTGAATGATAAAACGATATTCTAAATATTCAAAACTACCAAACAAGGAAACAAGGCACAGAATTCCTGTTTATAACGATTATATCACATTAGAAAAACAGTTGATGGAAACAACGAATTCTTCTTTTGTGTCAACGTGTTTGCAGTTTGACAAATAGGTATGTGGCATCAACGAAAAGTACCTTTCTTTATGAATGATTCAAATGTTATCTTCTTCGATACCTATATATCCTTCCCTATCAATAAATTTCATTATTAAAAAACATTCATGTGTTTAATTGAACTGATAAATTATATTTCCAGAATAAGAATAAACGAGTAATATTATGTAGAGTATACTCACTTGTTTCTAGTAACGTGATATGTGTTGTTTCTAGAGAACCTGTTGTTAAGGAGTCCCTATGATGCCTGGACCTCTGCAAAAAATAAACGTTCATTTCAGAAAAATCATCTTACATCATAATGCAAATGATCATTTGACACAGTAGTATTACTCCAGTCAAATAATAAGGGTATCACCTCGGAAGGAGAGATAAGCTGGAAACTACACCCTCATTTGGACATTCTTAAATATGTCTAAAAAGTCTCATGAAATCTCGTGTCTGCGTTGTGAGTTATCTAAGAGGTGAAAGGTCACAAAATTCATTTTTTCGCGAGTATCTATTTCAGTACTTCATTATAATATACTTTTTCTTCAAGAATTTACTTCATAATTTGTCACTGACTATATCAAATGGTTTTTTTCTCTTTGTTTTCTGATTGGGAAATTATAAACGCCGTGACATCTTGGATAAAATCATCTGATCTCCATTTGCACTACTGAAAATGCATTGTTTAATGCATTAGGATTATGAGATTCCATGTATTCTGGAGCCTAGCAGAATTTGAGGGATGACAAAGAATATTCACCTTCAAATACCTTTGAATATGTCGAACAGCACTTTACAAGAAATCGTTCGTCTATGGAACGGCAAAGCTTTGAAATTATTTACCAATGGAAGTATTTCCATGAACTCATAACCTCCGAAAGTAAAAAAAAATTCAACACCTACCCTCCCTAGGTGCACACGATATTCTTCGAACATTATAGGAATTCCCAAGAAATAAAAGAAATATGCATGATATTCATGATCATATTACGCGTCAGGAGCCGATTTTTATGAATTCATCTCAATAAGCGCCCATTCATCCAGAACCTGTCACCAAAGAGCATCAGAACGAAGAGAATTCAATCGTAATTGGCAAAGGACCAGCGCTCCATTCAACCAATTTCCCTAGTCTCCTCCGCACCCTCCTCCGGATCGTGTCGAACCCGGAACATCAAAGGTAGAAAAATCCGACCGTGATCGTCGAAGCGCTTCACCGGAGCTTTTAGTGCGAAAATTCATCGAGGGTAATTAGATTGAGGTGTTAGTGGATGGGGGGCGACACCATTTCATTGGCACCCAAGCAAGGTCTATATATGATGAATGCAGTCGTTTTTTTTCATCTCTTGGAGCGAACGAGAGGAAATCCCTATGATGTTCGAAGAACATCCTGCGTACCTTGGGAGGATAGGGAGAGGAGGTGGGTGTTGTAATTGTTTTTGAACATTTGGAGGTTATAGGTTCTCTGGAATACTTCCAGCGGCAAAGAATTTCAAATATGCTTTGCCGTTCCATAGTATAGTATTAAATAATAATAATAATGATGAGGAGTCTTTATTTCATCTCAACCATTGATACTATGAACAAATTCCAATAATTGACATCGTAAATGTTGAACAAAACAAAAAATTAGAAATTAAGCTTGAAAATATCAAGAGAAAAGTACAAAATATAGTGGCAAAATAGAACAGATATTTAACTTAGCTATCAGCTGATATTTTCACAGTTTCACAGGCTTATGTAACATAGCAACTTCACATATGAGTGTGCACTTCAACTTGGGGATTTGACATGTATCTCAAAGGAATTCATATTTGGAGCATCTTCCATAAAACTTGGTAACTCATTGAATATTTTTATGTCAATATATGTAAATGATCTCTTGAACTGAGCTGTTCCATCATTTGGTATAACGTATAAATTATTATTCCTGGTTGATCTGTCGTGAACATTTCTTTATAAATCAAAGAGCATATATGGAGAATGAACCGTTCATTCAAATTTAACCAATTTGATTCAGCAAACTGTGAACTGAAATGATCATATTTTCTCAAATTGTAGCCGAATTTTAAACAAGAATTTTGCACTTTTTGAAGACCTGTTTCATCTCTATCTAATATGGCAATACCTACAGGGTGTCCCGTGACTCGATGGCCATAGCTCGAGGGTATATTCCTTGTACAATTCCAAGTCGAAAGTACCCTATACACTTTTGTCTCAATAGTTGAGGTGTTATGAGCAATTGATCACCAACTTTGCTCACCAGTAGATTGCAAGAGATGGTCCAGTTCTTTGGCCAAGGAGGTCACCTGACCATTCTATTATTGGGGACCCATGGAAAGTCTAGTGTATTCAAATGAACCACAAACCAGAAATGAACTAATCAAAAATATTTTGACTTCAGCTCAATCGTTAAGAAAAATCTGAAATGGGAATATTCGTTAGATTGCATCATATAAATGTGCTACATATATGTACTTATTCGAAAAACACCTCGTATATAAACAGTAATACGAATTCAATACAATGATATATGAATTACAGAAATATAATAAAATGCAAATTTCAATAAAAAAAATGCATTTTTGAATATGACATACGAGAAAACAAAACACAAAATATGAATTGCAAAGTAAAAGATACATATAGTAAATGATACAGGTATATACAAAATGGTGAGAGTGTTGTGCAAGGAAGTATAGCATGGCTTTCTATAGACGAACAAATTGAATATACTGATTGAAAAAAAGTGCGGGGCCAGTCTTTGGGGAATGCCAGTATGACTGAAGTATGAAACATCGTGAAATGTATCGTCCAGCTATCAGATTATAATTATTGAATTATTTCTGATTTGTAAAGGAGTGTATTTTTAAGTAATATGACTAAATTATTATTTATTAGAAAATTTTCATTGAATGCATAAAGAAGAATATAACAGTCTGTATAAAAACACGTGCTTGTTCTTTGTGACCTATGTGGAGCTTGACCATTCTAGCTTGGCCTCTGAGAGTTGGATGCGCAGTAGACCAGTAGGAGAAGTGGGGCGAGAGCTCATTATCGGTTAGTAAAGTCAGTGATGGAATTATTCAGTGAACTGCTGATATTTCTGTGTTGATATTTCTGAAACAGTTGTACTTCCCAATGAATGCGCGTAGTGGATCTTTGTCGCACACTAACCCTTTAGTTCATGGAAAGCGTTAGGCGACGATGACGTGGTATCCAATGTTTTTGTTCACCCAAAAAAGTGCTGAACGACACGCCTTGAAAAATTATAACAATGGAAAAACCTTTACGAAATCAGAAAGGTCTGCCTGAGCATCAGGTGCAGAAATATTCAGGAGGTGATTCCTATAATATGTTGGGAGACAAGTTCATATAAACATGATGTGTCCTGAATTGAATCGTTTTTGAGATACAGGATGTTGAAGTTGAAATTATTGATAGTATTTCTTATGATCCTCCTGTATGAACCTTCATGACGTAAAAATCCAGTCTGCTTGATGGTAAATCACAAAGCTACTAATTATTGAGGTTATTGAATGATCTCTATGTTTTGAGACCACCTACATTGAAATTTGGAGTGAAATCAAATTCTCATTGATTCCTCAAAAACTCATCGAGCGTGATCAGATTTTGCTGTCAGTGGATTGGAGACGAACCTTCATTTTATTCATTGGCACTGGAGTAGTATCTATACGAATCCAATTCTAATACATCTACCCTGTATGATTGTTGTAGTCGTTATTTAATTCAATGATTGAAAACATTTGCCACCAATGGAAATAACGTTGCGGAAACAAGAAATTTTGCTTTGGCATCAGAGTATAGATGCATGAGTGCTATAAAAATGAAGTGATGATACCTTATCATACTTCAGGAAACAGTAATTTTATATAAACATTAGTGTCAATGGTAGTTTCAATTATTTTACTAATGATCCCTCTGTATGAGCTTTGATAGTGGCAAAATCTGGTAACTGACAAAGTCTCAATATTTCAGAAAGGTACTCACCAAAACTTGAAGTCTAATCGAATTTTCATTGTTTCCGGAAAAATAAGCGAGACACAAAAGTAACACAGGAAACGAGAAAGTTGTATTTTCAATTGTTCAATCTCTTGGAAATATTAAAACTAGTGGCGTACAATGGTAATCACTATAAATATTAATAAGGCCTGGAATTATTATTTTTTAAATAATTACACCAAGAAGTGCTCTATGTTTTTTGTCGTGGTCGTTGACATCCTTCATAGACATCATATGCGGGTCTTCATGTTACTATCAATAAGAGAACCGAGTTGCATCCAAATTGACAAAAAGACTTTTTTGTAAGTCCGGAAAAAAATATTTGTGGACGTGTTAAGTACACTATTTTTCCTTCGGCAACCGTGTAGAATACCAAATCAATGGGAAGAGTGACTATGTTCGAATTTTTCTTGGATAAAATGGAACATTCGAACCTTTATCTCAACATAGAATAACTTCACATGGTAGAGACAGACAGTTTCAGATTTTTGCGCCAAATGAGCCAAAATTACATCATCTGTAATAGTTTTGCATTCTTCCATATCCATCCATTTCGTGAGCAAATCATATACATGTTTGCACCTTGACTTTTGATTTTTCAGGCAATTGTGTTGTAGCAGCCTGCTGCATAGCAAATTTCTTAAGGCACATTTTCGAACTCACTATGGCTTCTCGTTTCCATAGCTTATCGCAATAATTGCGACCAAAAACCATGCAAATGTTCAAAAATCTAAATGTCAAATAATTTCATGTCAAATAGCTGTTAGTCGTTTTTTCTCTGCTATGATAATGGTCAGTTGCATTCTTCAAAACCATACCTCTCTCTCTCTTTTCAAAGAAGGAGCGTCCGGGAAGAGGGTACTTTCCGGACGGTTACGATTTTTCATTAAAACATTGATGCTACCCTGTATAAAAAGGAGGAAGTAAGGATAAACAATTATAATAACACATCGACTCCTCATTCATCACAAACCACGTAGAACTCAGGCTGAATTTGTAACAAATCAAATAGTACAGGAATCGAAACTGTCAATCCATTCTCAGTATGTTTGTAAAATTTCAATAATTCGATAGACTGCTTATTGACCCTTCATCGAATTGCCAGAACACAAATATCCAATTTGTTCTTTTCAGAATACGAGTGGGAAATCCTCAACCACTATAGGTACTGTTAATTCACTTGTTTCATCTTCTTTTCACCAGATGTCTGGGGATTTGTCCATCAACTGGGAACAACAGATTCTCAAGAGACATACGAATCATGAGTTAGAGCAAAATGGAGAACGTAATAGGGCTACCCATTCGTTAATTCTACAAAAGGATGAGACATATTCGACT